TAAATTTTTGTTGAGTTATTAATTTTATTGTATTTAATAAGAAATTAACTGAGAAAAGGATAAAGAAGGTTGGTTAAATGGGTTTTAAGGAAAGAAAGTTGTAAGAAACTTTTATTCTTGAAAAACGATGAACAAAAAAGGCTTAAAAAATTATTTTAGTTTTGTTATTTATTTATTATAATTTTGGAATATATAAATATCAAAATATCTTTATAAAATCTTGAAACAAGATATTTCTCATAAAAGTTTTCTTAACACACCTTTTATAGTAAGAGGGTGTGATATTTGATATGATTAGTTATTATGAAATTTGTTATGAGATAACATTGTTATTTAATTTTTTATTTTCTTTTAAATATTAAAGGTAAACTATTTGGCATTGAAATAATTTTTTATTTTGTAATGAGTACCGCACAATTAAATCATTGTTGGTATAAGATTGTACTTGATTTTCCTGAATATAAGCAACCTATGAATAGAAACTAGAAATTCACTGATTTGTTCCAGCAGCCTAAGTGAGGCGCACGCAACTTTCTGCTGCCTAACCTGTCAAAATGGTTGTTAATATGTAGCCTCATTCCATCATTCATATGTATGTTAAAACAAGAAAATTGTCTTCAACAAGAAATCGAAAATCATCAATTCAAATATCATGGATTTGCACTTGGACTCGCAGCCTAACGGATATATATCGAGTTGTAAGTTGTATCTGTCAATCCAAAAATTAAAGTTTGAATCCTCTTATTTTTAAATGTAAATCTGTTTAAAAAAGAAGGATTTATTAAAAAATTCACCTTTTTTTTAAAAAAAAATAAAGAAGAAATTAAGTAAAATCCTTTATCATTTGCACGTACATAATAAATAAAAGTTTCTTAGAATTAAAAAAAAAAAAACAGTTCTGAAAAGAAATCATACTGCTGCAATTATATTAATGATAGAAGAGGGATTTATTTATACATAGTTCTGAAAAGTCCTTTGTAAGTTGTTGGAAATGTCTAACAGGCGCTCCAAAAGAGATGGATTGTTGGCAGCAACAGGCAACGTTTGGCACTTTTTTTGGTTGGATGTTTGCTTCTTACGTTAATGGCAGCAAGATTAAGAAACCCAGCAGTCTCTAGAGTCCAAGAAGATGGAGAAGTTTAGTGGTTGGGTGTGTAACGGAGACTGTTAGTGTGCCTAACGGATATTGTTAATGCGTGACTAGATGTGTAACGTGAAAGGGTACATACATCATTTTCTATTATATTAATATGAAGTTTTAATTATTTATCTTTTTACTTTTAATAGTTTATATTCAACATAATTTTCTAAATAAAAAAGATAATTATATTCAATAAATATGAATAAATTTTAACTATTAAAAGTAAAAAGATAAATAATATTGAAATTTTATATAAGTGTAGCATGTAAGATTTATGTATAAATATATCCTATTCTTCCTGATAAATCCAGAAATGGACCTTTTTCATGTTCAGACCTTCCTGTAATACGAGCCATGGTAGGCTAGACCTTGGAGCCTGGCTTGGCCAAGCCGTCATCGTCGCGATTGTGTCTCTTTGATGGACCTGAAGGTGGGATTTGCATGGCATTGGGGAGAACATGACTGAATGCAGTTGTTGTCAAAGTGTTGGTGTTGTGTTTGTTTCTATTGCTATTCATCAGGGCAAAGTGATGGATTCTGTATGTTGCTCCATTGCTTACAAGAAGAAGTAGAAGAAACAAACGAAAAATGGTCATCAGAATCTGTTTGGCAGCCATGAAAGAAAGAAAGAAAGAGAGAAAGTAAGATGAGATTCAGACTCTGAGGTTAAAGGGATAAATGGGATGAAGAAAATGTAAATAGTTTTGTGGAGTAACGGATGGTTTCATAGGAAGAAAATATGAAGAAAAATCAGTTGAATGATTGGGTAGTTTTTGAGGAGAGGAAGTAAGAGACAAAGTAGAGAATTAATAATGAGTCAGAAACTGGTTTTGCTACTTCTGAGTGATGTAGGTAAGTAGACGAACTTCTTCAGTCTTTCTTGATCACATTTATACAAGTATGTTACCTTATTTGGCATCTCTCTCAAATACCTATTCAAAAAGATAAACAAGAAAAAAAAAGCTTTAGTAGAAAAGATATAACTATACCTTTGACTAAATAACACAAAGAAAAAAATAAACATAAGTTTCAAAAGATAATACAAATTTATATGGATTATGTAATGAAATTGTTTTTTAATCTAAACTATAAAAGTACTAAAACAATCTTATTGAATCCTTTTAAAGATATTTAAAATACATTTGCAGGTTGAATAATAAAAAACAATTTTAGTATGTAGCTGAGAATTGAGAATGTCATCTCCTCGGAATTGTGCATTTGTGACGTGCATAATCACTTACTGGGAATTGCATTATGCCATTACCTCTGTTGAAGATGAAGATGGCAATTTATATGTAACCGAAAATGCAGTCCCCTCCTCATCTTTCTTGTTTTCTCACTTAATTGAGGCATGACTTGGTATGTGCAACAGGTGATAAATTTCATTAAATATGTCTCTTTACTTGTCACATATTAATTACATTTAATGAAAGATAAAAATCCTCGATTACCGTTAACGATCTAAGTAATTTAATGATAATTTCTCTTCACAAAAAGTAAAAGGTTTTAAATTCGAATTGTATGACATACGGGTGAAGTGGAATAAAGGATAAAAAATAATTACCTCCTACTGTACAACCAAGATAAAAAAAGAAAAAATCCTCAATTACATAACTGATGGATGTATATACCCTTAAACTTTTGCCTGTTAATATTTCTACACCTCAAAATGTAAACATCTTAAGGATGTGGTTGTGAATACCTTACTTAACTTAATGGTAATTTTCTTTTAGTTTAAATAAAAGATCTTCAGTTCATATTACATGACAAGTGATACGAATTAAAGAAGAAGAGAAAATGCAACTCAAGATTGAAAAAACTTGAAGGATGTAGGAAATTGAAGTGTATTGTAATTTATATACAAATTCAACCAATGTGTTACACATGCAGTTTCTATCATTTTCTTTTCCTTGATAAAAATCATTTCCTGTACATAAATTAATTCAAGCAAAGAATCTGAGCACTCCAGAACAACTAAGCGCCCAAATAATCACTTGACCTGATTATCCATGTCAAGTTGTCAACTAATGGAAGGCAACATTGGATCCATACCAAGACCGGATCCACCAACAGTACCAGGATCTGCATGCTTTACTCTGCCAAAATAGCGGATATGGCGCAGCAGCCTGGCTAGGAAGGGGTTGTGGCAAATTGTTGAGCTATCACACACAACTGCAACATGTTTCCTTGCCCTTGTTATGGCCACGTTCATTCTCCTACTGTCCCCAAGGAATCCGACGGCTCCTAAAGAATTTGAACGGACCTAAATCACCAAAGAAGCATGCTATCAGCAATGATGAAAGTTCTTATGATTTCCAATACATACAATTGGCTGCCACAACTTATGTTAAAATTTTTCAGTTTTCAGTATGTACAAGTGAAATATTCATCAAATTCCTGAAAGAGAAAAAGGAGAACTACGGCATGCTCTACGGAAAAATGACCTCAGCTCAAGGCCCTTGCCAGAGTTCTGTATCATCTCCTGTTTAATTAGAGTTTCCAAAAATAGTGTTAATGTACAAATTATGACTATGCTCTTGTAGAATATGGAATGAATAACATCAGATTCTATCAGACGAACTCATGCCTAATTATGGACATAATCAGCTCAGCTGTTATATCAGAGTTATGAAGTGCTACAAAATATGATATTCACATGAACTTAAACATAAAAGCAAAAAATGTTCATTATTCTAGGCGCATCCGATGAATTTAGAATTTATAAGTTAAAAAAAAAAAAAAACTTTCTGCCTAAAAATCTATAGAGATAAGCAGGAAAAAGATGCTTATGAGTAAAAGAAACAGAGACTTTATAATAGCAAGGACATGACAATATAAACCGACATCAGCTGTTCAAAAAGAGAAGAATCAGTACTTCAAAGCCACATACCATTGATATAATAACTGCATCAGCCTCTCTTCCCTGGAAGCTATCAATTGTTGCAACTTCAACACCATCTGCCTCAGGAAACTCATCAAGCCTCTCCCTTAGGAGTTGCACTTGAGCAACATAAGGTGATTGCACAGCAATAGCTGCTGGGCTGACACCTGTTTGAGATTTGACAACTAATTAGCTTAAATGATTAAACTACAAAAGGGGCAAGTATGGTGCTTGGTAAAGAAAGGAGAGCAAACAAGGAAAAAATTGATCAATAAAATCATAAGATGATCAGCAGTTTAGCCAACATTTGTCATACCTTTATAGAATTCAACAAGTGGAAACCAAAGAATATAATTAGTTAAAAAGATTTCACCTATTTGAGGCCACACATAGTGGCAGCAGTTTAGGCAACATTTGCCATACCTTTATAGAATTCAATAAGTGAAAACCAAAGGATATAATTAGTTAAAAAGATTTCACCTATTGGAGGCCACACATAGTGGCTCCAATGTACCGTGCAATAGTTACTGGAAACAACAGGTTCTTTGACAACTTAGGGCCACCATATGACTATATGTCCTATTTATATTAAGATAACTGACTCTCAACTAAAACTAGAAATCAAATACAACAATTTTCCAAAAAGTGTACTAAGTTGCGTAAAAATGTGTAAATGAACAACAAGTATCATTATAAATTTATGCCTCTAATTGAGAACAATGCCTTAGTTAATGCAAACAAGTACCTTTATAGGTGAAATTCAAACTATGCAATAATTAATTATTTTTAGAAAGCCAAATCATCTTTAAAAAAATTTATGTCTATACTTGGAAACAAAGACAGTTAATTCAGACCATTTCTAGGTAGCATTTAAATCCTGGATAATCAGGAAAAAGTGTGCAAGTGGCACAAAATACTAGTGATCAGCACACAGCTCTTCTTAATCCTGAAAGTACAAAGCTTATAGCACTATAAACAAGTTTTGTAGCCCATGGTCCCTCCTCCTGCCCCTTAAAAGAGAAAGTCCAGAGTTGTCTAAGAAAATCAGTTCCTTTTGTCAATGGCATAAGGACCCTCTAATATATATATATATATATATACATATGGATCCGCTTACAACTCTTACATACATCACTTACACAAAATCTTAACCATTCATGGTGGAGAGATGAATGATCAAGGCTTTCTGTAAGAGATGTGTGTAAGAGTTGTATGTAAGTGGATCCTAACTCTCCCTTTATGTATAGTAGAAGTCTACCACATTGCTAGAGTTCCTGGTTTTCCGCCACACTTTTTCTCTCTTTCTTAACCAACAGTTCTGAACCAGGAGAATAAACCCCATAGTTGCAGTGACAATTATATGATAAAAAAGAATAAAAATAAAAAAATGACGTACCTGTAGGTTCTATGGTGCAAATCAAATCAACTTGTTGTATTTCAAGGTAGGGACCAGTGAGTGAGAGTATGACAAAGCTCTACTTTAGGAATATTAGAAACTTAGGAATGCTCATTCCATGCTTGCACTAGTTTTCTTCTAATATAAGTTGGAAGGAGGGAAATGGAATAGCTAAAAAAAACTTCCCCTAGGTTTTAGCACTTCCTTCCTTTTTAGAACTCAATAGAAGAAAAATGATATTGGCATGGAACAGTCATTCCTTATTTGCTATGCTCTGTATCTAAATTATCTTATTTTTATAGTTTAATCCATAGTTTAATCCAGGAATGACCACTTCATTCAACCCAACATGATGTAAGAGTGCCTCCAGAGAATTAATGGAAAAAATAAACCAAAATGGAATCACCAATTTCAAGCATTCTAGCATTCTGACTGGCCACTAACTACACTCTAATTATCATTTAAACATGTATCCAGGATACCTGTAAAATGAAAGAATGAACTAGAAAATATATTATATTGAAAATATGCGCATTTACCTGAATAAATCAAAGAAATTACATGCTGGACAACAATGTCTGCTTCCCCTTCATTGTAAAATGAGCCTGTTCCAGCAGGATCCAAATGCTCTTCACAGTCCATTGACAAATTCCCATATGGCATTCTTGTATCAAGCAGCAACAATGGGCATTGTGTTATCCATGTTGGCTACAATATTGGATGAAAAATTGTCAAAGAAATATGCAGTGAAGATCTAATGATCTATTAAAATAATATAGAATGGATTTATCAATATATATATAGAATAGAATAAAATAGAAAATTAAAAAACAATAAGATAATGGAATGTGCTTAGTTGTGTATAAAATTTAAGTTTCAGATTGCTATATTAATACAGCATCTTTTCGTTTGGTAAAAGTACTTTATGAACACTATAAGATGCAAGCCCCCTTGGACTAGCGATAAATATGCAATAAAGATTGATAAAGAGCAATGGAAGATACAACTAGCATCTAAGATGGTCCAGCACTGATCCATTGATTACATAAATTCTTAAAGTCCATATAAAATATAAAGTCAAGCAACATGCAGTCCTCATATCTGAGTTGCACATGGTACATAAGTTAAGAATAGGCTAACATGGCTTGGTCTTAGCAGGTTTCAAGCACGTGTCCAACCCAGAGAAAAGTATGAAAAATGATGACAACTGGTTTGACCAATGGATTGATTAGGCATATATTGTCTCCAAAAAAGGTTTCTCCTTGACCATCTTACACATTCACAGATAGATGTTTATGAGGAACTTTGCAAAGCCCAATTACATTCACGACTTAAATTTCTCAAGACATTCAGCAATATATTCCACCCAAAAAAATGGCATTCAGCGATATATATGTCTGGAATACTAAACAAAGAAAAGTGGATACCAACTGAGCCTGGTAGAAAAATTTCCACACACCAAACATTTTAGCAAGGGAATAAAAGATCAAAAACCACAAAAAGCAAGATGATCAGGGATTCAGGGGTATGATGCCTAAAAGCTTGGAAATTGAGAAAACCATACTCCCTGCTCCCAACCAAGCACAAAAAACCACTAGCACAACACAGATAGGAAAGAAGCATCTAACATATTAAAAGAAAGCAAAGAAGGTGTGCAACTCAAGCAAATTAATATGGGGTATATGAGAGCACAGCAAAGGAAGAACAAAATAAAGAAAAAATTTATAATAATAATAATAATAATAAAAAAAAAAAAAAAAAACCACAGTATCAAGTGCAAAATTTATAGTTCGTTCATACCTTGACAAAAGGAGATTCAACAAGAAGATGAGAAGCAACAATGGGGGAAGACTTCAATGTTCCACCATACATCTCCTTTGAGGCCCAACTAGCTATTGCATCATTCATACGGTATTGTATTGTTAACATGGTAGCAAGAACCCCTTCATGCAGAGTTGCAGATCTCTCCAGTAAAGATACCCCTAAACCACCCTCTAGGGCTTTTCTAGACAAGATAACTGGGGCAAGCTGGCACTGATCACCAGCGAGTATACATCGCTTTCCCTGCAATATTGGGATCCAACAAGAAGGTTCAATTGCCTGTCCTGCTTCATCTATAACAACCAGGTCAAACATTTCTAGCCTCCGAATCAATGGATCAGCAGCTCCAGTGTTGGTAGCAAGCACTACCTGGGCACTAGTGAGTACTTCCCTCACGGTTTCCTTTTCCTTCTTCTTTAGTGCCTTTCCCAGCTGCTTTAAGAGCTGGCGTATGCCTGCAGCTAAAGAATCATCCTTTAAACACTGTTTCAGGTCTCTCCTTAGATCTGACTTCTTCCTTTCAGACTCTGCTCGGAAGTCTGCTAGCTTGGAGTTCACAATTTCAACCAAAGATTTTGATGCCACTGTTGAAGATATACGTGCTGGATTTCCAACCCTCACTATATTTAACCCAATACCAGAAAGTTTTTCAACCATGTTGTCAACAGCTGCATTAGTAGGCGCTGTTACTAGCACCCTTTCACCTTGCTGTATAGCAAGTGCAATGAGTTCTTTAAGCAAACCTGTCTTTCCAGTCCCCGGAGGCCCTTGGACCACTAATATAGGTCGCTTTTTGTTTATGCCTAAGGCAATTGCTCGTCTCTGGGAATCATCAAAAGTTCCATTCTGTAACTGTACACCCAATTCTTCACTCCAATCTGCTAAATTATTCTCCTCCAACCAAGCTACATCTTCTTTATCTCCAAATAGTGTAGCCACAACAGCTATAGAAGGGTTTTTCTTCTGCAAGCCATTCTTTTGAAGAAGCATCAAGGCTTCACAATTGCGCTGCAAATATTAAAAGATAGTCAAATTTATAGGAAGTATACAGGCAGTGACAGAAAGGTAAATAGATGAAGCAGGGGAGGTAAGAGAAAATCTGCTATGTAGTACAGCAGGCCATCTACCCAGCAGGCCATCTACCCAGCAGGCCATCTACCCAGCAATCCTTTGGAAGTGAATACCCCTCCTGCTTATATTCTAAAAAGAATTTCTTCCATCGTAGAAATGTTCCCAAAGTTTCATAGCAGTTTTCATAAAAGAGACTGCACAATGCATATGGTACCATGACCTCAAATTTACAGAAACAAAGAAATGCTGTCAATAGAATGGACCTATACCACTAAAGCTTAGATTTCCAACCCACCTAAGATTTCTTTGGCTGTAATACTAATAATTACACCTGTCCAAGCAACATAAAAGCAAAGGCTGACAATATTAAATACATTTATGAAATACCTCATATGTAAGTGCATCAGCCAATCCTTGAATTCGGTCAATTCGCACAGTCTTTCCAAAAAGTTTAGAGAAGGTAGGATCGCCATGACGTGACTCCAGAGCCACACTGATGCTGCAACCATCCTCACCAAGGTTGTCAACAAACCCCTGCATGCACGATGTAGCAGCAGCTCCCCTGCTATCACATGTCCTTACACAAACCATGTCTCCGGGTGAAAGAGTAGTAGGGGGTAGACGGTGATTCCCTTCAACTCTAAATAACAGCAAATGCATCCCCCCCAATCCTGTGTATACATTCAAAACCTAGAAACATCACCAAACTAATCCTTCATAATTTCATGTTAAGTTGATACATTACATTAATGAATCCACAATTACTAGATAATTTTAGCAAATAACCTGTCGATGTGCTAATGGCATTCAAATTGCAAATGGTGTCACAAAGTTCTTGCTGTGCCTGGCCATGGCTAACCAAGAACTCAATTCGTCTTGAGGAGTTAGAAGTCTCATCAGGCGTAGGAACAGCGTTCAACTCCTCTTGGGTGAACTCCAACTCTGCATCCCTCTCTATCCGGAGCAACTCTGACATCCGCTTTGTGAACTCATCAATCCTGCATTGTATGGTCTTGGCCTTCTCCAAATCCATCCCCAAAACACCTTGCACGGGCTTTGACTGAGTGATTTTCCTTGCAATCGCTCTATGTTGAGCTGCAAACCCACCACCTCAGCACGAACTTACTCTTTAACCAAACTAAAAACAGTAACACGTACCTCAAGAAAACTACAAAAATACAGTTATATAAGACAGTTTCAGGTACAAGGGAAAAACCTGAATGTGCAAGCTCCTTTAGTAGCTTCCAAGACTCAGTCTCGCGCCAGTCTTCAAATACTGATTTCCGCTGCAACTCTTGAAGAACATCGCGCAATTCCCTCTGAAAGTGGTCGAAAAGAGTTGGATAATGTGTGCAGGCCTTCAAACAAATTGCTTCGAGCCCAGGAGGCATAGGAATTGCATTGAGGTACGGCTGTGCCTGGATCACAAACGTCAATCCAGGACCCATCTGCTGCCGAACCTCCAAAAACTCCCCCTGCAGCTCTGCAGACGCAAAATCCGATGCCATTGCCCTCATCCCCTGGTTTATCCACCTAACAACACTCTTACCAAGATCTCTTCGCCCCAATGGATCCCCATTTTGGTATAAACCTCTCACGTCCGCCTTATTCTTTTTAACCTTGTGCTGTTGTTGCTTCATTGTCTCGAGTTCCTCCACCATTGTCTTCGTGGTACTAAGACTACTACTGGGTTTACTAGTAGTAGCAGCAGTGCCGGTGTCAGTTCTGCGGATTTTGGGTTTGGCGTTGACATTGCTTTTCTTGGTGGGCTTTTTCTTGGTAGTAAGCTTGCTCTGGCCGCCGCTTCCGCAGAGAATAAGTTGGTTGGATTGAAACTTGGTTGATGGGTAATTGTATTTCCCATCAAAGAATAAGCAAAAATTGGAACTATAACGCCGTTGAACAGTAGGAGCCAATGTTATGGCCGGGATGCTTCCACAGAGAAGGCATGAAGCTGCTTCCATTTCAATTATGGAAAAAAATCTTTACTTTCCCAGAAAAGAATCCACATTATCATGAAAAACAAACACCCATTTTCCCTAAAACTGAATCCCCCAACTCTCTCAACGCCCTCAGAATTGAATCTAACAGGAATCTTGGGTTTATATAAATTCCCAGAGAAGGAAAAAGGGTGAGATTTTTTGGGATTTCAGTTGGGTTTTTGAATTTGAGCCTCAAAACCGATTTGAGGTGGGGAGAAATGGGTTGTCTTTGTTTTCGAATTTACCTCTTTTATGTGATTAAGGGTAAGGCAAAGTGTGCACTTGGCAACTGGGAGACATTTGCAGGGTCGTTGTCATGGTTTGTGGGGAAGAGGAGATCAAGAAGGAAAGTTGCGATTGGCTGGCCAATGGAGAGGGTAACGTGTTTAACAGCGATTCAATCTCTGTCCTTTGTTGGTTTGTGGAGTGGAGACGCCTTCTGTGGCGGAGAGAACCTCCGAGAATGAGCTCGTAATTAGGGCAGACGTGTTCCTTTCTGCACCTTGGAAAATTACAAGAAATTTGTGTGATGAATTAATGTTGCCAAAAGTCGACGACCAACCTAAATAGCTTATTGCTTTCATTAAAAGTACGAGATATATTCGTGGATTGTAAAAAGGAAAGTGAATTAATTTTTATTGTATATTTAAAAATAAAAAAGAAAAATATGTTGCCAAAAAGGAGTCAAAAGGTTTTTTTTTTTTTTTGCAATGTCGTATGCTAAGCTGATTTTTTTTTATAATGATAAGTTATATAATTAAAAAATAATTTTATCCCGCACATGGTAGCTTATTGGCCACTTCTTTGCGGACGTGCTTAGGATTAATGAGAGCTGGGATCAAATCCTAGGTCACTTTCTCTTCTCCAAAAAAAAACATAAGTTTTTTACTGTTAAAAAAAAATAAAAAATAATTTTTATTTTTAAATTTTTATTAAATTATTATTTATTTTAAATTTTAAAT